TTCTATACAACAAGTAGAATAGACTATACTTCAAAGTATAATGCTTGGCAGTTTTACAAGAAAATAGTACAGACGACAAATAATCGTCTCAATCTCCCAAAAATTGACTAACACATTTGGCCAAAACTTTGTATAGGGTTCTATTGAACCTTTTTATGAGACCGTTGCTTTGTGGATGATAAGTGGTTGATAACTTATGCTTGAGCTAGGCTTTTTTATATACGAAGTCTATCACTTTGTTGACAAAATAGAAGCCTTAATCTGATTGGACTTGTCGTAGGCACCCATGTCTGTTTATTATTTTTTTTAATATGAACATAGTAATGCTTTCTGCTGAACATTCTATCAAAGCCCTAGCTTCAGGCCATTTGGTTAGATATTTAACTGCAACAACTAAATACTGATTTCTTTTCTTGGTTATAAATAATGGACCTACAATATCAATATCAATATGATTGAAGAGCTGGGTTACTTTAATTGGGTGCAATGCATCTTTTTCATCAGTTTATCTGTCATTAACATACATCATAGCTCTTAATGAAGGTTCGGATATCGTTCACTATTTGATTCCAGTAGTATTGGGCTTTCACTTTTTCGATTATTATATGTTCACCCAAATCTCCAGAGACAGGATCTTTGTGAAGGGCTTTAGTATAAAGTTCACTTATTCCTTCATTATTACCCTTAATGGTTTATCAGGATCTCCTTTTTTTCAGTGATATAGAACACCATTGTGTACAATATAATACCAGGCTTGTATTTTAATTTCTTTGTTTGTTCTTTCATATACTCTGCAAAGATCTCTAATTTATCCAAATAATTGACTAATATCTTATAAAATTCCACTTTCATTGTAATGTTTTTTTTTTTTTTTTTTTTTTTTTTTTTTATTTATTAATTTCTAAAATATGCATGTACTGTTTAAATAGAAAATACTGTCCTTGTTTTATATATTATCATTACACGTCTAACTAAGTTTTAACTATTTTGCTAAAAGTTCATTATATTTAAAGTTTTGTAGGTACCCATTTCCCACACCAAAATCGTTCTAGCTGTTCCATCTACACTATGTCCATTATATTACTTGATAATTAATAGTTCTTTTGTCTTTAATATTGCATTACTATCTATATATATAACTGCTAAAATCATATGACTTCGTGCTAAATTAATTGTCTACTGATTAAGTTTCCAAGTGCATTTGTTAATTAATTCCAGTTTTTATTGCAATGTCTGTGTAGTATAGTCTAGAATAAATGCTAATAGTACATAACAGTTTTTTTTTTTTTTTAATTATTCTCTTTGTTTGTTATTTCTTGCTATTGGGCTTTCTCCTGGCTCAACTATGATTCTTGATAGTGTATCTATATTATCCATATATTTTCCTGATTTATGTTTAACTACAAAATCATAATCTTGCAATAACATTATGTATTGGGCCATTCTTCTAGTAGGGTTTACCATATTATTTAAATAAACCAATATACTATAATCTGTAATCAGTATAAACTAAGCTTCATGTAAATATTAGTAAAATTTTTTCATGGCCTATACAATAGCAGTGCACTCTAACTTAGTGATCATGTAGTTCTTTTCAGTAGGCTTCATTGACCTGCTTGCATATTTCACTATGTGTTCTTGACTTTCTTTATCGATTTGTGCCAAAATTGTACCAAGAGCTAGAGTTTCAATCCATAAACCATTAATCCATTTATCTATTGGATATCTGATATCCAATAATAATTGGATAAGATGAGTTAAATAGATAGATATCTGAATAATCTGATAAATTATCCAGATTATATACTGTTTTTTAATCAGAATCGATGCAGGATAAACATTTTATTGATTGAAGAACTATTTATTCTCTGCAACAATGGGAATAAGAGGTATATCCTTATTATTTGGGCCCAAAGAGTTTCTAGTAAGCTGGGATCTACCGGGTTATTTCCCTATTTGTAGGAAATAAGGGTATTATTATTTATTTTTATATGATATCATAATAGGCTTTATGACTCATGGTCACTATAATCAATAAAAAAACAGGGTTTCTTGTGATGCAAGTTATTTTCCCAGCAACGTTTATTTTTCTCCAAAATTCTGAGGAAATAACAAATATTGCTAGAGAAATAAGGCTGCTTAAAGTTAAACTTTCGTTTATTATTATTCTTCTTCATCTCTTGAGCTCCCTTCTAAAATTAAACAAATAAAGGTGACAAATTAGTCAGTATAATAGTCAGCATAGTGATTGGAATTTTTTAATTATATTTGGGATTTTTCAGTATATTATATATTTATTTTTTATGTTTGTTTAATTCCTCCCCCATGAATATGAAAAAAAATACAGTAACATTAAACAAAACTTTAACTACAAGCAGCCTAGTTTGCACCAATTTTTTTTACTAATTAGTGATTATAAGTTGTAAAACCCCATATAGAAACATGAAATAGCCATTTAATATACAGAACTTAAATCATTGTACCTGTTAATTTTAATATTTAATTTCTGCATATTAATATGTTTGCAGACTTAAATTATAATTTCTGCATATTTAGTTACATCTTTGTCTACAAATGCGAATACTAGTATACCAAAAGTTCTACACAAGCTACACCTTAACTCACTGTGTTCATACAAACAGTACTTCAATTTGTTAATCCAACACAAATATTGGCTATTCAAGAATATTTGCACCATCCTCAGGTGATGGCTCATATATCTATCAAGCAAAAAAATGCATTAATTAGTTAATTAATGATAATCTATCAGTTGTTAATGTCGACACAATTAGCACAACAGAAATCTTAGCAGCAATTGGTTCATTTACGAACAAAGTCTCCTGCAATGAAGTTAGACAGTTGTTAGATATGAAGTCCTGTTAGAGTTTAAGAAAACCAAAAATGATAAATGGTTGTTTCCAAAAGATGCAATACTAGAAGCATTGTCAATATCAGAACCTTACGATATAAGGGTCACTTATGTATTTTCGAGCTTTAAGTAAACACAGCTAATTATTAGGACTTACGAGAATATTCCTTATTAAGGTGTTTGCTTCATTTTATCTTCCTCAAAATAAAGAAACATTAGGTTTTAAACAGCAATATCAGCCCATTACAATGCACATGACTAATATAACACAACTGATATTGTATTAAAAAAGGCAATGAATGATGTAACTACTGTCTTCAAATCAATAGCTGAAAGATAAGAAGACTTTAATAAAATTTAATATTTTACATAGATATTTACAATAATAATTGATTATAGGTGAACAAGCAACCTAATCGTGTTTACTTACAATACTGCTTGCCTTGTGATTATTCAGAAGATTTATTAGAGGTAAATTTATTATTTTCTGTTGATATATATTGTTAATGAAACTGCTATAATATTGATTCATTAATTATAGGTGATTGGACAAAAAGTTGCTAAATTGGACAGAACAAACATCTATTTTTTGGTAGAAACAGTGTCGCTCATACTATAACACAAAGCCAAAGCCTAAATCTTTATTGTTATATTTTCCCATAAGTCTGATCAAGAATTTGTCAATAAGTCTAACTTTTGCTAGAATATTCTCTTCAGGCATTTGAATATCGAATTAAAGGAATATATTTATTAAGTATATTCTTTAAAGTCAAAAATTCTAGACTATTCTTTGAAGTCAGATTCATATAAATTATAGTGAATAAAAATATTCATTTGTGAAGGATCCAAATTTAAATATATAGAGATATACATAGTAAAAACTAAGCCAAATATATTTTATTATAAATTAATGTTGGCAGATAAAGTTAAAATTTTGCAAAGAAATCATTTTGTTAGTGCATAAAAGGTAATTTCATAGATAAAACATGAACTATATAGGATTTTTTAGATTGTTTTAATTTTATATATTTTTTTTTTGCATAACACCTGATTTTGAAATTGATTTGATCCAGGAAATTTTTTAGAGTAGTGATACTAGAATAGTTCTTCCTAATACTTCGGATGATTCAGTTAATCTATTTCGGATATCTGACATAAATAGATGATATCTGGTTATGTTAATGCTGGTAAATGGATAATAGATTTATCCAGATTGAAACTCTACTAAGAGCTATATAGGAGATATCACTATAAAGTAAAAACTCTTTTTCATCTTGTGGGTGCACTAAGATTGGAGCTGTTGTTAGCCATAACTTTACTCATCAAAGGCTTCTTTTTGTTTCTTCTTCCATTAATAGAGAATATCATTCTTTAATAATCAATATGGTAGTACAGCTATCTTGGCAAAATTTTTTACAAACCTACGGTAAAAACTTGCAAGTTCTAAAAAACTTTATAATGCTTATACATTTTTTGGTTCTGGAAAGTTCTTTACTGTTATTATTTTGATGCTGCTGCTGCTATATTTTTTTTGCTGATTTCATGTCCTAGATATTCAATTTGCCTTTGTTCAAAAAAACACTTGTTCAGGTTTAATTTCAGGTTGGCTTGCCGTAGCCTTTCTAACACAATATCAACGTGAACTATATGCATATCGAAGTCAGATGAGTATATGTTTACGTCATTAATGTATGCCAGAGTGAACTTCCACAATTCTTCAAGCAAGACACGATCTATTAATCTTTGAAAAGTGATTGGCATATTCATCAATCCAAAGGTATTACTACAAATTTGTAAAAACTAAACTTCGTAGTAAATGCTGTTTTCTCCTGGTCTCGAGGGTATATTCTGACTTGCCAGAAACCACTTGCAAAGTCTAGCATCATATACTAGACAGACTTCTTTAGGGTTTCCAAGAGTTTATTAATCTGGGTAAAAAATAACTATCCTGCTTTGTTTTTTTATTCAATTTTCGAAAATTAATACAAAAGCGTAACTTTCCATTCTTCTTTTTTACCAGAACGACCGGGGATGCCTATGAACTATTTAACAGTCGAATCAAACCAGCCTTTTCCATTTGCTATATTTCTTGTCCAATGAATTTATGCTTAATCTTGGACGTAGAGTAGAATCACTGCTTTATCAATGGTCCTTCTTCTGTATAGATTTTGTGTTGTACAACCGTCATTTGATCTAACTCACAGAGTTCATGTGCAAAAAGATTCTGGTGTTTTCTCAACACTTCTTCAAAATGGCTTCTTTGTTCTATTGATATTTTACCCACATTCAACTTATTGATCGATTCTTCACTTTTACTAAAAAAGCATACAGCTCAATTATCTTCCTATTTCTTTTCTAGAGCACAATTGACAGCATTGTGTCCCTTCTTTATACATCGTCTGCATAGTTTTTCAGATCCATCTAGTATAGGTTGCATCTTATGAAACAAATATTCTTGATTTAGCAATACT